CTAGGCTCTCTCTCCCTCACAAGGTTCTAGGGGTACCCTTGAGGGATTGGGAGGATACTTCTCTAATACTAACTGCCTCAAGCCCCCACTCTGATGTTTTTTATCTAATGTAAACCACCAGTGATTAGTGCCTCAGTTTTATTTAACTAATTAAAAATCAATTTAGCTTTTGCAAAGGGATATTTAGATATAGCAAGAACAGATTCAGAGTCAAGGTATCAGTGTTGATCTAAGTCTTGTCCCTGATAGTTTACTGTCTACATGACCTTGGACAAGTCACTTAACCTCTATTGCCCTAAATTTCCTTATGTTTGGAAAATGAGGGGCCCAAACTAAGTGGCTCTAAGGTTTTTTTCTAATTCTTAAACTGTTATCTTCTGACCTGCTGGGTAGAAGGCATTGCAGGCACATGAAAGCTAAGACAAAAATTCCTTCTCTCAAAAAGCTTTCTGTCTAGTAGCAGGTAGGAGACATGTGCATAATTGATGAGTCAACATGATTTCTTCAGTTCTCACTCTGTGCCAGGGACTATACTTCTAGCTGGGAAAAAAAAAGAAAATGAAACAGTCCCTGCCCTCAGAGAGCTTACTTTCTGTTGGGGGAATCAACATGTATACAAACAGGTGAATACGAAAAAAATCCAAGATAACTGTGGAGGAGAGAGACATTAGCAGCTGGAGGGACCAGGGAAAATGTCATTTAGGAAGTGGAATTTGAGCTGTGCCTTGAAGGAAGCTAAAGATGTCAAGATGGAGAGGTGAAGAAGGAGGACACTTCTGGATAAATAACTAGAATATATATTGGAACCTGAAAAGTGTCCTGAAGCTGTCCAGAGAATGAGGAAAAATAAAATGAGGGATTTGAGGAGGGAGAGATCCTTCCTAGTTTCAAGGAGTCAGGGAAAGCTTCTCAGAGGAGGCACCCTTTGAGCCTTGAGTACCAGTAAGGAGTTGGAATACTTCAGGATAGTATGAGTATGGCATTCCCTGGCGTTATCGTGTTCAGCTGGATGATTTTAAGAGGATAGTTGAAGTGTTATGTACAGGGGCAATATAACTTTATTTATCAGAAAACTAGCCTGCTTCAGTCTGTATTCAATCAATATCAGTTCTTTCTCTAGAGGCAGATAGTATGTATGCTTCATCATGAATCCTTTGGGATTGCCTTGGATCACTGTATTGCTAAGAATGGCTAAGCCATTCACAGTTCTTCACTGAACAATATTGTTGTTATTGTATTTAAATAATGTTCTCTGCTTCTGTTAACTTCACTATGCATCAGTTCATGTAAGTCTTTCCAGGTTTTTCTAAAATCATCCTACTTGTCATTTCTTATAGCGCAATAATATTCCATTACAATCATATACCACAGCTTATTTAGCCATTCCCCAAGTGATGGGCATCCGCCCTTTGATTTCAAATTCTTAGCCACCATAAAAAGAGCTGCTATAAATATTTTTTGTACAAATAGGTCCTCCCCCACCCTTTTTTGGGATGTCTTTGGGATATAGACCCTGCAGTGGTATTGCTGGATCAAAGGATATGCATAATTTTATAGCCCTTTGGGCATAGTTCCAAATTGCTCTCCAGAATGCTTAGATCAGTTCACAACTCCACCAGCAGGGCATTAGTGTCCCAGTTTTCTCACATGCCCTCCAACATCCAACATTTTCCTTTTGTGTCATATTAGAAAATCTGATAGGTGTGAGGTGGTACCTCAGAGTTGTTTTAATTTGCACTTCTCTAATCAATAGCGAAGCAATACAACTTTAAAAGAGGATGGCCTGAAAGAACATGCCTTATTTATTTGCCTATTTACTCCTTTACTTAATATTTTAAACTTAAACAAAAGAAAATGGGTATTTCCATAATGGAACATAAAAAGAAAATTATAACGTGAGGAGGATCTGAGTTTAGATCCTGTCACATACACTAGCTGCATTACCCTGGGCGAGTCACCTAACTTCTCTCAGCCTCACTTTCGTCACCTGCAAAATGGGCATCATAGTAACACTACCTACTTTGCAGGGTTGTTGTGAGGATCAAAGGAGATAACAAGTGCATAATAACATATAACAATAGATGCATAAGTAAAGCACTTCACAAACCGTTAACAAGCTACATAAATGCGAGCTATTATTATGATTATATGATGACAGAGATAGTTACCTGGGGAAATATGGGTTTTTGTGAATTTCCCAGGATCACACAGCCTGGATGTATCAGAGGTTGGCCTAGAACTCAGGCCTTCCAGGAGCTAAGCATGGCTATCTGTACATTAGATGATGCTGCATACAAAGTGAATGTAAGGATTTTGGTGATGTGGGTGGGCAGGCGTTGGGAAAAGTACCACTGGCTGCTGCCAGGGCAGGTGGCACTTGAGTTGAATTTCCAAGGTTACAAGGCCAGTATTCCAGGAGCAGAGAACATTGGGAGCAAAGGCAGAAGTGGACAGGGAATGATGGGGAGAAAAAGAGGGGTCAGCCCAACCCACATTCACAGCATACGATGCATTAAAATGAACAGACTTTAAAGTTTGCAAGCAAAGGCTGAAATGTAGCAGGCATGGATGTGCTAAGCTGGAAGGGTCCTATTAAGAATTTGCAGCTGTTTTTTAGTCAGGCTTGACTCTTCTTGAACCCATTTGGGGTTTTCTTGGCAAAGATACAGCAATGGTTCTTATTTCCTTCTCCAGCTCATTTTACAGATGAGGAAACTGAGACAAAAAGAATTAAGTGACTTGCCCAGGGTCACAAGATAGTGTCTGATTTAAATATTAATTAATTAATGTTCATATTAATAATAGCAACACATTAGGCAAGGCACTTTATGGTTTGCAAAGCTTCTTCATATAGTATTCTCCTTTGGTCCTTAATATAGCCCAGAGAAGGGAGAATAATGATTATCTCCATTTTCCTGATGAGGAAATTGAGGCTGAGACAGGTTAAGGGATCTGCCCAGGATCAAATAGCAGAATTCAAACAATAATAACTAGCATTTACATGGTACTTTAAGATGTACAAATTTTACAAATTTTTTTACAAAATATTTTTACAAATTTTATGAATTCTTTACACATTTTTTACAAATATTTTACAAATATTATCTCATTTCCCCCCACAATAATTCTGGGAGATAGGTGCCATTATTAACCATATTTTGCAGATGAGGAAACTGAGCCCAGAGTCAGCTAGTAAGTGTGTGAGGCTGGACTGGAATTCAAGTTTTCCTGACTTAGATTCTATTCCCTGTGGCACTGAGCTGGGCTTCCTGGCACTGAGCTGGGCTTCCTGGGTTCAAGTCCATTACTCCGTCTGCTATGCCTCTGATACGATGGTACTGATTGCGAAGAGCCTTAAATACTAGTTTAGGGTTTATTCAGTAAGCAAGTGGGAGCCAATGAAGATCTCTGAGCAGAGGAGCACCATGTGGAGTTCTACATAGAAGGAAAATCAGCCTGGCAAAAACAAAGCAGACCTCTCATGAGTCTAGCCCTATATGAACTTAATAAATGCTTGTTGATTGATTAATTAACTTAAAGGTATCCCATTGCTGGTCTCAGGATTTTAAATTTCATTGCAACAATTCCACTGTGTAACTTATTTTGAATAAGGTTTTCAAATCTGAAAAATCATTCTTTTGTTATTTTTAAAAGGTTAGCTTGTGTTTTTAAGTGTGCTTTAAAAAATGTCTTGGGACCAAGGTGTTATTATGAGAATATATCTTTGGCCTCTTAATGGGTAGCAGTTACATTCAATTTAAAGAAATTCACTTTACAGCCAACTTTCCCAGAATACACCTTTTCCTGTAAAGGGGGGTGGTCTGGTATTGGTTTTCTGATGGGATTTCTGAATCTGACATGAAACCGTGATATACCACAGTTAATAATAATAAGGATTATTATTATTCTAATACTTCATATTTACATAGCACCTCAAGGTTTACAAGTCAAGCATTGTATGCTTTAGTGAGTTATGTGAGTGCAGCCTGGTATGAATTCTGTTTATTAGGTGTAGGGCAGTGGAAAGATTATCATACTACAAGTCAAAAGATCTGGGTTCCATTCTCTTCCTTGCTATGTGACCCTGAGTAAGTCATTAGAGCAGTGAAATGTTTCCTCACATCTATAAAGCAAGAATGGTTAACTCTTGCTCCACTTACCTCATTGGGTTATTTCTAGGTGAACTCTTTCTACAAAACATTACAGAAATGTGATTTATTCTTAGCGGGTGGCATCCCTTATGAGGAAGAAAAAAGTCACATTTTTACTTACCCTGGTCTTCCTAATGAAGGGGTAGGCACCTCTGGGCTCAAGGGATATTCTCCCCTTCTCATTTCAGCCTGAGGGGAGAGAGTCTCAGGGAAACGCCCTGCTTGGAAAATAACAAGGAAGGAGAGCTGGGGAGAGGGCCAAGTGCCAGTAATGTCTTAACTTTCTCCCTTCTCCTGTTACAAAGATTGCTAATAACTTCTAGGCTTTTAATGAAGAAATATGATTCCTCTTTAGAAATCTGTGTTGACTGACACCTTACTGGAAATGACAAGAAAGGTAAAAAGGTGTCTTTCTTTTTCTTCCTTCCTTCCTTTCCTTTCCTTCTTTCTCCCTTTTTCTTCCTTTCCTTCTCTTTTTCTTTCCTTCTTTTTCTTTTCTCTCCTCTCTATCATTCTTTCTCTCTCCTTCCTTCTTTCTTTTTCTTTTTTCTTTCTTTCTTTCTCTTCCTTCCTTCCTTCTTTTTCTCTCTCTCCTTCTCTCTTCCTCCTCTTTCTTTTTATTTTTTATAAATTAAAAATTTGTTGTGAGAAGATAGTAGTGAGAAGATAATAGTAGAAGACCTATCTGCAAGGTCAATGGTCCACAGAGCAAATGACAACTGTTTATTTCCTGAGGGCCCCCATGTCCCTTGATACTTCTCATGGATGATATCTTCACTGTGTTCTTCAGGGCAGTATATACTTAGCCGTCCTTTTTGATTGTTCAAGGTCATTGATGTCTTCTCTCAGTCAGGTGAAGGAGAACACAACCACCAAAGTTCAGCCTGAGCTGGGGCCATTGGTACCCCGTCATGGAAGGCAGTTGGGGGAAAATCCACCAGCTCTCAACAGTCCTGCTGATCCTAAAGTCAAATTCAACCCTGGTTGCAGAGAGCAGAACAAAGGTGGAAAGGAAGAAGACACACCTGTCCTCGTAGGAGCAGGCAGTGGTGTGAGTAATTAGAACAATGATTGCTTTTTCACTTGTTCTTGGGCCTCTGATAGGGGAAAGGAAAGGAAACTGGCAAGATGGCCGTGGAAATTGATGTATCCATATTCATTTGTGGCATCACAGGATTCAAAGCTGGGAAAGATTAAGAGAAAATCTAATCCAAACCCTTCATTTTGTAGGCATAAGGAGGTCAAGTGACTTCATCAGATCAAGGGATCATACATTTAGAGTGAGAAAACTACCTCATAAATTTAGAGCTCGGAACATTCTTCATCGTTTTATAAATGAAGGAACCGAGGCCTAGAGACAAAGGCTGCCTCCCTGAGATCATACCGAAAAGAGCCCAGGCTCATATTTAGAGAGCAGGAAGGGACCTCAGAGGCCAACTAGATCAACTTTTACAGAGAAGGAAACTGAGGGCCAGGGAGGAGAAGTTGCACACATGGTAAGTGTAAGAGGTTTTGATTAGAACTCAGGTGCTCCAACTCCATTGCCAGGGCTCTTTCCAATACACCTGGTTGATTCACAGAAGTTTGGAAAGTTTAATTGACAGGTTAAAAGACTAAATTGACAGGTTAAAAGACTACTAAATTTTCTATAAATGTGCAAAAAAAGGAAACGTGACTTCCTCTAGCCTCTAGGTTTGGGACCATCCATCTTAGCATCAAAAAACAAATGAGCAAATAATTCAGAGTAAGGCCCCAGCACCTCAACCATGCCTGATCGTGCCTGATCTCAGACCTGAGCAGGATGGAGCTTGGTTAGTATCTCTATAGACAATACCTGGCAGTAATACCAGGTGCTGCAGGCTTAGGTGAGAACAGGGGGATGGAAAGGTCTGGGAAAGTATGAGAAAGGTTGTCATGTCGAAGGGATATAAAAACCAAATCCAAAAGTTGAAGCCCTCGAGGATTTTACATCCTAAGAATGAGTCTGCATTGATAGAGTGCCAGACTAGCCAACCTTATAAAAGCCCTTCATTGTTTTCTTCTTCCTTTATTTTTTCCTCCTTTTAAGGAGAGACATGGAATCAAGATTGCTACAGAGAAAATCAAGCCACCAAGCACTTAACATTTATAAGTGCCAATTATGTGCCCTGGCACTATGCTAAGCCCTGAGAATACCAAGACAGGTAAAAGACAGTCCCTGCCCTCAAAGAGCTTATGATCTAATGATCCATCCTTTTATTTTACTTTGACCCTGAATAAATACCTGGCATAGTCCTCTAACCATCATTATAATAGCTTACATTTGCATGATGCTTTGAGGTTGACCAAGTGATACCCTCCAAGAAGCCCTGCCAGTTAGGTAATGAAGGTATCATCCCCATCTCACAGATGAGGAAACCAAGGCTCAGAGAGGGATCCAGGGGATGACAGAATTATCCGTCCATCAAGAAAAAAAAAACAACAAGTATTTATTAAGTGTTTTATATGCCAAGCTTTGTGTTAAGCACGGGAGATACAAAGAAAAAAGTGAAAGCAGACCCTTTCTTCAAGGAACTTCCATTTGTTACATTTCTATTGTATTATATTATGTCATGTCATATCATATATAATATCATATCTTATATAATATCATATATCATATTATATTACATCACATTATGGTATTGTATTATATTACATCATATTATAATATTATGTTGTATCATGTCATATTACATCACAGCTCTAGAGGTAGAAGAGACCTTAGAGTTCATCTCCTTAAGTCCCTCTTTGACTATAACAACATTAATATTAATAACAATGTAACCATTTACATAGAACTTCAAGGTTTGCAAAATGTTATCTCATTTATTCCTCACAATAATCATGGCAAGCAGGTACAATTATTATGTCCATTTTATGGATAAGGAAGCTGAGGCTTAGAGAGGTTACATGCCTTGCCCGGGATCACATAGCTACTAAGTGTCTGAGGCATGTTTTGAATCAAGGTCTCTGTGACTCCAAGCTCAGCCTTCCACCCACCCTGTTACCTCGCTCAAAGGTAATGTAAATAATAAAGGACAAAATGATCTAGTGGATAAAGAGTGGGTATCAGAGTCAAATAGACTTGAGTTCAAGTCCTGATTCCAAAACATACAGACTGTGGCTCTGGGAAAATCCCTCAACCTTCATTGCCCTAGGCAACTCTGCAAGACTATAAATTGCACAACAGTGGACAATCAGCTCAAGTAGTAGGAGTTTTCTCATTAGGACTTCCCTATAACAGTGAGGTCTCAGATCCAGAATCAAAGACAGGTGTGTGTGTGTGTGTGTGTGTGTGTGTGTGTGTGTGTGTGGTAGGTGACTGCCCAGGTGTGGAACCCAAATACTTTGACCCCAAAGCTATTGTAGGTCATAGGTAGTAAGAAAGCAATGGGAACCACCATTTAAATTTGGTTCTCCTGCCTCTTGCTACCTGGCATTTTCTCTAGCCTAAAATGTTCTCCCTTCTCATCTCTGTCACCTGGTTTCCCTGGATTCCTTGAGTCCCAGCTACAATCTCCCTTGCACAGAAAATCTTTTTCTATACCCCTAGTGCTTTGTCTCTGTTAATTATCTCATATTTATCCTGTAAGTATCTTATTTGTACATATCTGTTTGCTTGGTGTGCCCTCCATTAGATTGCAAGCTCCTTGAGGGCAGGGATTGTCTTTTGCCTTTTTGTACCCCCCAGTGCATAACATAGTGCCTGGCACAGAGTATGTGCTTCATAAGTGTTTATTGAGTTACTGACTTTCAAGACTTTGGACAAGTGTTTTAATGTCCCCTGAACTTAGTTTTGTCATCTGTGAAATGAGATGGTTGAACTAAATGGCTTCAGGGGTCCCTTCTAGCTCTATTTCTGACCCATAATCATATGGTTCTATGACTACAAGGACAGAGGATCATAGGACCGGAGACTTACATCTGGCACCTCATTTTACATAAAGGAAAACTGAGGCCAAGACAGAAGTGACTTGCTCAAGGTCACACAGAAGTAAGTAGTGGAGACCGGATCTAAACCCTAATCCTGTGACTCCTAATTAAGATTGAGGGAGAGGGCAATTATGTAACATGGCAGACAAAGATGAGAAAATGCAGACTAGGAGGACAGAGTTCAGGAAATGAAGACTATCAATATTGTCATTGAACAGGATAGGAGAGTATCTAAACACAGAGCTCCGTCAAGTCTTCTCTCTCTTGTTGTTCCTAAGGCTCTTCTGAACAAGTGTAGAGGGTCAGGGAAGTGACTTATCCACCCTCACACATCTGGAAAGTGGCAGAGCAGGTCTAGAACCTAGGCCCCCTGACTGTGAGGTCCAGAGCTCTCTCTGCAATGCCCCCTTGTCATCTAGTTCTGTGGATTGTGACAGAGGCTTCTTGTCTCCTCCCACAGAGCCTGGCATGTTTTGAGCTCCGGGGGTCCTTACACAAGGCTTGGCAGTGCTGACATTGAGCCCCCAAGCCAGCCTCAGTGTGATGCAGGGTGAACTCACTAATTAGCTTTGTCTGTGGGCAACGCTGGTGATGGTCCACCAGATGGCAGGCACAGTTGTCTGGGACAGGAGGTGAAGGTATCGGGTGTGGGGCCCTCATTACCACCATTGGGAAGCAGGAGAAGGCATCCTGCTAGAATTAAAGATGTGAAGAAATCACAGAAAAAGCATTCCAAACCCAGCTTCCTTATGCTTTCTAAATCAGCATTGCCTGGGCTGGGAAAAGGGTGGTGGAGCTCAATCCCTGAAATTATTCGAATAAGGACTCCAGATGATGGATGATCTCTCTTGAAGGGTACCTGTGATGCTTTCTGGGATTTAGAAAGGCCCTCTGAAGATTTTTCATTAGATGTGAAAGCATCATTTGAGTTTTGCAAACTGATTCATAGAATGTTAAAGCTAGGTGGAATCTTCCAACAGAGGATGTCACAGCTGGGAGAAACCTTGGACCACAGAATGTTGGAAAATGTTGGAACTGAGTAGGACCTTGGACAGGGAACTCAAAACCCACGATGAAATAGTCACAGCTCCAAAGAAGCTTAAGATTCATTGCGAGGTTGGACTTGATGACCTCAAAGGGCCTTTCCAGACTCAAATCTATAATTCCTATGACCTATATGATTTTAGATCTCCCCGTTTGTGCTAGATGCCCTTAAGTCACAGAATCCTCTGACTGAATGACCCCAAGGTAAGAAACACACCTGATATGAATCTTGATGCCAAGGCCTGTAAATTTGCAGCCAGGAAGGTGCATTTAAAAAGACATGAACTCACCTCTTTTCTTCTGCTGTTGTCTTTTCTCTGTCAGATTCTAAAATGGGCAAATGCTCAGTGTAGCTCCGTGCCCTCGGGAGACCAGTCGCTGTCCTACCTTCATGGCCTCCCCAAACCCAGCCCAATAGATTGGCCCTTGGAACACATGTCTAGAAATGGTCCCGGTGGGCTCAAGGTATCTATATTGGAGTGGGGTTATTTTATGGTTATGGAGCAGGAAAGCAAAGGTAGAAAATACAGGTAGAAGGTGTAAATCATAAGAACATAGAATTTAGGGTTGAGAAGTCATCAACTCTAAGTTCCTTGCTTTATTTTGTTATTAAAAGGTTTTAAATGCTTTTTGCTTTTATATCACAGGCATTTATAGATTGACCTCTCCCTATCCCCACCCCACCTCTCATGACCTTCTTGCTTCATCTCCTGACTCCATCATCCATTTTCACCAGCTGTCCTCCATGCCTGAAATAATTCCTATCCTTCTATCCCCCTCCTGGCTCCTCCTAGTCTCAGTTCATATTTTACCTTCTGTTAAAAGTCTTTCCCATTTTCTCTCAATGCTATTGCCTTCCCTCTGAGAATGCCTCCAATACACCCTGCATGTATCTGGTATATACATAATCATTTCCATGTTGTCTTGTCCCTCAGACTTTGAGCTGTTTGAGGCCAGGGGCTATTTTTTGCCTTTCTTGGTATCTCTAGTGCTTAACATATTGCCTGGCATGTAGTAAGTGCTTAATAATTGCTTATTGACTTGACTCACTCTCCCAGAGAAGCCTTGTCTTATAAAAAAGAAAGTATTTGACCAAAACCAGCTGCCACAGCTACAGCCACATTCTGCCCTGTAGTCCCTTACCTCTCCAGGAAATGATGTAAAAGGCATTTTTCATCTCCCTTTTGGGGGCCAAGACTAGCTATCATGAATGTACCACATTCAATTTTATTTTAGTGATCTTTTCAGTTTTACTGTTGTAGCCACTGTATGTATTATTCTCCTGGTTTTACTCTGTATTAATTCATTCAAATCCTGCCACTCTTACTTTGCAGGACCTGTGATTTCAGTAGTCCGGTGACTTCTCATGTTTTTCTGAATTCCACCAATTAGTTGTTTCTTACAACACAGTTAATATTCCAGAACATGTGTATGTCACAGTTTGTTCAGCTATTCCCCAATGACTTTATTTCCAGTTTGGTTTCTCTACCACAAAAGTGCTCATATGAAGATTGTTTTATACATGGGACCTTTATCTCTTGGGTATATGTGGGATCACTAGTTCAAAGGGAAGAAACTATTAAGTCTTTTTTTTACCTAAAAAAAAAAATTCAAATTGATGTCCAGAATGGTTGAACCAATCCACAACTCCATTAACTGTATTTTTCTTTTGGCTGACTTTGGACAGCTCCTCAAACATTAACGGTTTCTATTTTGTCAGCTTATATGATTTGGTGCATTCCTTTCATTTTACAAAGGGAGAAACTAAGACCCAGAGAGAAGTGACTCCCCCAAGGTCATACCTGTAGTAAGCAGGAGAGCTGGCATTTAAGCTGGGTCCTCTCACTCCAAAAGGATGTAGGCTGTAAGACTTCATAGCATAATAGAGCAAGTTTTGGAGCTGGAATCAATAAGATCTGAGTTCAAACCTTGTCTCTTATATTCTCTAACTCTGTGACTATGGACACATCACCTTTCTTCTCTGAGCTGCAGTTTCTTCATCTGTAAAATGGGGCTAATAACACTTTAGTACCAAATCAGATCATGTCTGAAAAAAAAGCTTTGCAAACTTTTCAGTGCTATGGAAATATTAGTTATTGTTATTATTTAACACTGGACTGTATTGGCTTTCATGATGGTGAACAGAGAGCACAAACCATCAGCGGACTGATTCAGTGGGTTGCCCCAGACCAATGCTTTTGGTGATTCTCTCAGTTTTTCTCACCGGGCTGAACTTTGGAAGCCCAACTCCCTAGTCGGGGGAGGGGGGAAGAGGGGAAGTGGGTGAGCAGATATCAAACCTTGGGTAAGCAAGCTCTGGTGCTTCCCTCATCCCAAGTGTAGGAGCGTGGTAGAGTCAATATAATATTGGGCTTGGGATCAGAGGGTCAGGGTTCAGTTCTCTGATCTGTCTATATGACCTTGCCCAAGTCAGTTCCTTTTCTTTGCTTTAGTTTTTTCACCCATAAAATGAATAGATTGATTAGATTGTTGTAGAGAGGATTCCTGTTCAGGTGTGACCTGAGATCATAGAATAACAGATTTATTTCTGAAGGAGATGTTAGATGCTGTTGAGTCCAGTCTCCAATTCTGAGGAAACTCAGGCCCAGTGGGGTTGTGATTCCCCAGGGTTACACAGCCAGTAAGTTTCTGAAGCTGGACTTGAACTCATCTTCCTGACTCCTTCCAGGGATCTACAACATATTAGGTATCCACTGAGGTCCCTTGCAAGCTGAGATTCTAGGAATTTGTGATTCTGTACCTAGTTCATACTTAAATCTGAAAGGGAATTTGGGGGCCATCTCGTCCAACCCCCTCATTTTACAGAGGAGGAAGCCAAGGCACAAAGAATGGAAGGGACCTACCTGTGGTACAAAGTACATGGCAAAGGCATGATTTGAACCCAAATCTTCCAATTCCAAATCCAGTTCTCTTCCTGCTACACCGTGAGATAGTCTCTAATATCTTCTCCAGCTTAACATCCTATAATTCTCTAAGATGGGAATAATTTTCATAAGGTTGTTGGGAATATCAGATAAAATAAGATATGAGGAGAGCAGTGTAGGACACAAATAGCATCCCTTTTCATCCTTTTTCAGGATTTCAGTCAGATGGTGGTGGGTAGAAACACATCATAGAATTCCTAGGTCAATTCTGACACCCTCTGGCATTCCCCAGGGCAGGTTAGAACTCTCAGTTTATGACAGGGGCTCATCTAGAACCTATGCTTGACCTAGAACTGGCTCATTTGCCTGAAGCAGAATTATTCATTCATTCACTCAATGAACATGCAAGTGTTTGTTAAACATGCAGAGCACTGAATTAGGCATTGGGAGAGATCCAAAGTTTTGATAAGATGCAACCCCTGCCTTCTTCAATTTTGCTTTCTAATAGGGGGAATGAAGCATAAATATGAAAAGCGGTAATGTATATTATATTATACATAGATTTGAGATGGTATGAATTTTAGGGTTAGAATTTTTTTCTGTGGTATCACGGAAAGGACATTACCAACAGAGGGCAAAGAAGGTATCATGGAGGACATGTTATTTCAAATAAACTTGAAAATATGACTAGAAAGTCAGTAGGTGAAGAAGGAAGCAGTTTCTTCATGAAGTATCTATGGTCTGACCCCATGTCCCCAGGTCCAGTGGTTCAGCCACCATCCCGCTGCCACAGTGAGATTCTTGGAGGTCAGGGCTAATGATGTCAGTCCCTCCTGAAATAAACTGCAGTGGCTCTCTATTCCCTCTAGGATCAAATGTCGACTCCTCTGTTTGGCACTATAGGTCTTAAATCAAGTGGTCCCCATGTACCTTTTCACATTTATTAAACATTAGTCTCCTTCATGCTATGGGCCAACCAAACCACTCTCCTTCCTCTTCTTCAGACGTAATAGCCCATCTCCATACCTTTGCACAAACTGCCCCCAATGCCTGGGATGCCTTCTCCCTTCACCTTAGAATCCCTAGCTTCCTTCCAAGCTCAGTTCTGCATATGAGGCTTTTCCTGATCCCTTCAGCTATCACTGGTCCCTCCCTTTACCCCCCCCCCCAAGAAATCACCTCATATTCATTTTATATATATTTAAGACATCCTTACATATGTATATCACACCATCCATCTGCCAAAAAGCTTCCTATTTGCCAGGCACTAGACTAAGCATTGGAGATACAAAAAAGGGAAGACAGCCCTTGCCCTCCAGGAGCTCACTGTCTGTTATTTTGCTTAGTGGAATGTAAGCACCTTGAGGGCAGGATCTTCATCTTTGCACATCATGCCCAACATGTAATAAGTGCATGTTAATTGACTGATTGGTCTTAGGAGCCCATAAACTATTCTGACTTTCAAATAATGGACCAAATATACAGATAAATATTGCTACCCACTCTGATGGCCATTGGTTACTCCCTTCATTGCTGATTTGATTCTTCAATCAATCAACCAATGAACGTTTATTAAGCACTTACCATGTACCAGGCACCGTGCTAAGTGCTGGGGATACAAAAAGAGGCAAATGACAGCCTCTGTACCCAAGAAGCTCATAGTCTAATAGGGGATGCAACATGCAAACAAATACATACAAAGCAAGTTATATTCAGGATAAATAGGAAATTATCAGAGGGAAGACATCGGAATTAAGGGGTTGGGGAAGGCTTCTTGTAGGAGGTGAATTTTAGCTGGGACTTGAAGGCAGCTAGGGAAGTCCATAGTTGGAGTAGAAGAGGGTGAGCAGTCCAGGCATAGGGGAGTGGCAGCCGGAGAGAATGCACAGAGCTGAGAGATGGAGGGTCTTGTAAGAGGAATAACCAGGAGTCACTGGATCCAAGAGTGTGTTGGGGAGGAAGATGTAAGAAGCTTGGAATATAGGTGGAGGCAGATGGGTCCTAGTTGGGTGGGTATCAGTGAGCTCTAGACCTGCCCGTAATTAACTACAGAACATAAAGCTTGTGCCTACTTACAGTATTTCACCCACCAGTCAGTAAAGAGGAGGCCCGATTATATAGAGCACCAAAAAAAAAAAATGCTTTCACGGATTAAGTTTTTCAAATTTATCTGTGGTGTGTTTTTTCTTTGTTTTCATTTTTTGTTTGTTTGTTTTGTTTGTTTTGGCCTTTCTCAGAGCCTTGGTCTGAGGTCAAGTGAAGATGAGTCTCTTCTGGCCATGGTTGAAAGAGAATTCAAGGTACATCCTCCAAGTTCTGATTTGCTGGACAAGCTGGAAAAGGAATTGAAGGTCCTGGATCCCATCTCTTCTGGACTTCTTCTTCAATCCCAGCTGAGCCGATTGCTAGTAAAGCATGAGGTCCCTCTTCAGTTGCCCACTGTCAAGTTACTTTTCCAGAGGTTCACTCAGACCAGATACTCAGAGCTGGTATGGCTAGCTTAATCTGGTAGTGGGGGTGGGGAGAGAAAATTAACCTTTCACTTTTTAAAGTAGCCATGGATCAGTGAGAAGCCTTTCCCAGTCCTTAATGCCAGAACTTTACCTCTGAGATGACCCCCAGTTTATCTTGTATATACCTTAGTTTGTATAGACTTGTTTACATGGTGATTCCTCCATTAGATAATAAGTTTCTTGAGGGCAGGAAGCATGTTTTTGCCTTTCTTTGTATCTCCAGTTTAGCAGAGTACATGGTTCATAATTTTGTTGCTGCTCAGTCATTCGGTTGTGTCTGACTCTTCGTGACCCCATGGACCACAGCGTGCCAGGCCCTTCTATCCTCTACTATCTCTCTGAGTCTGTCCAAGCTCATGTTTATTGTTTCCATGAGAGTATTTATCCCTCATCCTCTGTCCTCTCCTCCTATTGCCTTCAATCTTTCCCAACATCTGAATTTTTTTCCAATGAGTCCCATCATCTCATTTTGTGACCAAAGTATTTCAACTTTGGCATTTGACCTTCCAGTGAATAGCCTGAATTAATTTCTTTAAGCTTGACTGATTTGACCTCCTGGCTGTCCAAAGGACTCTCAAAAATCTTCACCAGCACCACATTTCAAGAGCATCAATTCTGCGGCACTCAGCTTTCCTTGGAGTCCAACTCTCATAGCCATACATTGATACTGGAAAAACCATAGCTTTGTCTATATGGCCCTTTGTTGGCAAGGTGATGTCTCTGTTTTTTAGTCAGCTGTCCAGATTTGCCATAGCTTTCCTTCCAATGAACAAGTGTCTTTTAATTTTATGGCTATAGTCACCATCTGCAGAAATCTTTGAGCCCAAGAATATAAAATCTAATACTGCTTCTATTTCTTCTTCCTCTGTTTACTAGGAAGAGATGAAACTAGTTGCCAAGATCTTAGGTTTCTTTTTTTTTTTGATGGCACATAATAAGTGCTTAATAAATGCTATTTGTATGATTAACTGTTTGATTTCCTCCACATATCCAGTGAAGGTTTAATGTGGAATCAGGAGACTTGCATTTGAATTCTGCCTAACATGATCATAGTTGTATAGCTTTAGAAGGAGAAGGCATTACAGAGAACATCTTGCCCAACCCCTCTCATTTTACAGATGAGGAAGCTAAGGACAGTCAGGTTAAAGGATTTGCTTAAGGTAGGGATTCGGAATCTTTTTGTGACTTGGGTCCCTTTGGCAGTTTGGCAAAGCCTTTGGAAGGAAGCCTTATCAGAATCAGTTTTAACTAGTCTATCTATCTATCTATATATCTACCTATATCTACATAGATATGTAGCTGTAGATTGATGTTTCTATATATATATATATATATACATATACATATATATATGTGTGTGTGTATATATATATATATATAACCACAGGATTATTAGTCTAGGACTGGAAGGGAAAGAGGAAAGTGAGGCCAAGAGACACTAAATGAATAGCACAAGGTTACATAGGTAGTAATCTTCAGAGGTGGAATTTGAACCCAGATCCTCTGAATGTACTATATCACACTACCTGTGATGGCTTACTAATTACGTTACTATTTACTTAATACAATAAGACACAATAGTGATTAAATATCTAGGCAGCTAGGTGGGGCCATAGTGCACAGAGCACCCTGCCCGAAGTTAGGATGTTAGAATGCTAGGATGACACATCTTCATGAATTCAAATCTCACCTCAGGCACTTACTGTGTGACCCTAGACAAGTAATTTGTTTGCCTGAATTTCCTCATTTGTAAAATGAGCTGGAGAAGGACATGGCAAATCTCTCCAATATATTTGCCAAAAAAAAAAAAAAAAAACCCAAATGGGGTCACGAAGAGTTGGACACAACTGAAAAGTGACTGAACCCTAGGCATTGAAGGCCAAGGGATCCCTGCCCTCCAAGAGTTGACAGTCTAATAGGAAGCCAAGAAAGCTGTAATATGTGCTTTTACATGCTAAGTGTGAAACAAACTGCTCTGGAAAGTTTGTAAAGGAAAGGTCATCACCAACTGGAGAAAATCAGGGAAGGCTTTCTGTAGGAGGTAGTCTTTGAGTTGGCTTTTAAAAGAAAGTTTGGGGGCAGGTAAATGGGGCAGTGGATAAAGCTCTGGCCTTGGAGTCAGGACGACCTGAGTTCAAATCCGGCCTCAGACGCATGACACTTACTAGCTGTGTGACCCTGAGCAAGTCACTTAACCCCAATTGCCTCACCAAAAAAAAAAAGTTTGAAATTCAGAAAACCAACTTCACCTCCTACAGCCCCATTCTTCCCTTCTCTGAAATGAGACTTAGGATATGTGCATCATCTTCCTTACAGGAATTGGGAGGAATGAGCTTTGGGAACCTAAAAATTTTTTAATAGTGTTATCTTTAATGCTAATAATGATGATGATTGAAAGGCATGAGAGGTTTGAATCTCCTTGGGAAATAAATGACTTCTGTCGTAGGATTATAGATTTAGCACTGAAAGGGACAATAGAGACCCTCCAGTCCAATCCCCTCATTTTATAGATGGGGAATCTAACGCATTGAATACTGAGGAGATGACTTGCCCAGGATCTCACAGCTAGCAAGTGTCTGGGTTGGGATTTGCATGCAAGTCTTCAGGACTTCAGATGCAGGGCACTCTCCATTAGGCCACACTGCCAAGATCATCAAGATTATTGGGTCGGTTGCTCAGAGATAGATAAGAGAGGTGGGGGTTTGGGCTTGTTTTGGGTCTGGACCTGGGACCATTAGTACGGGAACTCCTGGGAGAACTCTCAGCACCTACCCTCAAGGAGGTGGGGATCCTGAGCAAATCTCTTAGTCTTTTGTGCCTGAAGCACCTCTTTAAGACTGTAAGTGACAGATAAAGTTCTGACCTTCATTAGTAGAGAGAAGTTTCTTACACTGGCCTAGGCCCTATCCCTTATTTTACATATGTTCATGAGCTATATTTTGTCTCCTCCTTTAGAACACAAGCTTCTTAAGAACAAGGACTGTTCTAGTTTAGGCTATGTTTCACCAGTATCCGGTATGGGGCCTGTTTCCTTGTGGGTATCAATAAATTGATGAATGGATGGATGGATGGATGGATGGATTCTCTAAAGACATTTTGCAAACCTCTTTCTTTTTCATGTAACCAAAATGTGTGTTCATTTTTAGATCAATTATAAAAAGCTGCTGTGGTTTTTAAGATTAGCTGCATCAAATGAAACTTGGAGGAGTGAGTCCCCGGCTGATGGCATCCCGGTAAAAACAGAGGAAATCAATGATCTTGACCCAAGGTGATCCTTTCCTCTCCTTCTTTGGTGAAGATGGTGACGTATTCAAGGAATTTTAGAGTTAAATGGAATCTTATGGAACTAGATGTTCCACTTCCCACCCAATATAGAAACTCCCTCTAGACCTTCCCTAATGGTTGGTCATCCAGTCACTGCTTGAACACTTCCAGTGAGAAGGAGGTCAGTATGTATGAAGATTTAGAATCATGACCTCATGATTTAGAAAGGCCTCACCTCCTATCCTCAGCAGGGCCTCTTTGATCTTAACCCAGCTTTGAAACAATGTGGTGGTTTTCTTTTTTTCTGCTACTACGTTTTTTCCCCCCAGGAAGAATTTTACATGAGCACTTTCTTTCCTTCTCTTTGTCTCTGTTTCTTTCTCTCCTCTCTGTTTCTGGCTCTCCTTCTTTCTGTCTCCATTTCTCTCTCTCTCTCTCTCCCTCTCTCTCTCTCTCTGTCTTTCCCTGTCACTCACTTGCTTATGAAGTTCACATATGGAAAACAGAAAAGTAAATTTAAGAAAAAAATGCTGAGGCACTTAAGTGCTCCTGAGTTCATTCTTCTTCAAGCTGAGACCACAGAGAACGTGAAGAGGAGTCCACGTGTATTGCTGGAGAAGGATCTCAGATGAATGATGACTCGGGGATCTCCTTTCCTTAAGCTTAGGGACAATAGAACAGACAAGACAGTGAATGTTTAGGACTGGGATTGGTTATTTCTCCTTCAAGCAACCCGGGGATTTGAAAGAGATACCAGCTTAGCACAGTACCAACACATACTGAGTGCTAAGTGTTTTTTTTTTAAGTTCATTCCTTAAAAACGGAGGCTTTTCAGCCTGGTACCAGAGAGAACTGTATTTTCCATGAGATTTCTTTATACTCTGTCTATGTAGAGAACACTGGCTTCAACCTGTCTTGTCAATAAAAATACTAGCTTTAGTAATTAGGATCGTTCCACTTAGGACCAGCAATAATACTGAAAGTCAGAGGCATTTCAAGCTGGAAGGGACCCCAGAGGACATTGATTCCAATCCTCTCATTTTAACATGAAGAAAACAAGGCATAGAGCATTTCTGTGGCTTGCTCAGGGTCATGAAAGACAGTGATCATCTGAGATAACATTTGAACCCAGGTGTTTCTGACTCTAAGTTCAATTATCTGTCCATTATGCCACCAGATTTGTTTTTTAGACCTTAAAGTTTATCCTTTGTTAAAATTGTTCTGTGACCAATGATAGGGTCATAAGGATTATTTTTATATTGTTTTTTGTTGTTTAGTCTTCTTTGACTCTTTGTGACCTTATTTAGGGTTTTCTTGGCAGAGATACCGGAGTGGTTTGCCATTTCCTTCTCCAGCTCATTTTACAGATGAGGAAACTGAGGTACACAGAGTGAAATGACTTGCCCAGGGTCACAGAGCTGGTGAGTGCCTGAGGCTAGACTTGAACTCAGACCTTCCTGACTCCAGGAATGACACTATATCCACTGTACCACCTAGCTGCCCATAATATTGTAGACTACTTAATAACAACAGTGGTTTGCAGCTTACATAGCACTCTCAGTCAATTAATCAAGTATTCATTACACATTTCTGTGCTAACTGCTCAGAATGGGAACACAAAAGTGAGATAGTCCCTGGCCTCAAGGAGCTTGCAGTCTGATTTACAATCTGATGGCCTCCTCTTGAAGCCCAGCTTCCAAGTCTTAACCTTCATTGGCTGAGAGACTCAGGTGAGATTCTTGGTCACATTGTCACTGGAGCTAAGCTTTGATTGTGGAATTTTACTATAAAAGCAGTAACATCCTCAAATATCTAACTGAGGCAAGAAAAATACTTTTGAGATATAGATGAGCTCATGTGGCAGCTTTTATTAAGGGGGTTTGTTCTGTGAAGTTGGGATTCAGTCAAAGGGCTGTACTTGAGGACCTAGAGGGCCACATGTGGCCATAAGGCCTCAGGTTCTCCACCCCTGCACCTAGATCTTAGAATATTAGAATCCAGAATGTTAGAGAGAGAGCTCGGGACCAAGACTGTCATGGCTGGGAGGGTCCTTAAAGGCCATCACTCCAATATCTTTATTTTACAAACAACACAGCCCCGTTGTAGAGGGTCTGTTGCCATTATTTTTTATGATTGTTGTTTCTATTCCCAAACTCACCAACCTGGCAAGAGGGGAACATCTCACAAAACCCACTTCATATGATGAGTGTCCTTTCTGCCACTCCACCAACAGCCAGTTTCTTCACAGGGTGGGTTTGTGTCTCTTGGAAAAAAGGCACCTGGGGAAAAGGTCCTGGGGTTTTCAGAAAAGCTGCTGCTTGTAAAAACCTCCTGTCAAAAACAAACAAACAAACAAACAAACAAATAAACAAGAGGAGGCATGGTCCAGGGTCCTGGCTTATAGCTCATCCAAGGCTTTTTTCATTAATGTATTAATTCCAGAAGACAGCCTTCTCTGGGTGTTCGGTTGTGGGGAGCTTTCAGTCAAAGAGGCCTGGATGTGTTTGAAAACTCGCAGCATTGCCGGTGAGAGCTGGGGTGGCAGTAGCTTCCTCATCTAAGTTAGTCCAGATGTAGGAAGCATCTGGATTTGAGCCTTCTAAGAAAATCCCACAGGCTACAGGAAGTGGGATTCCTTCATGCATCTGCCTCTGGTTCCCTTGATGGAGGTGTTGGTGGTGCTCTCAGAGTTGCTCAGTATTCCTAGGGTACTACTTCACAGGGGAGCTGAAGCATCAGACTTGGAGTCAGGAAGACCTGTTTGAATCCTGCCTCAGACACTGTTATGCTAGGAGGAGAAAGAAAAGGACAGATTGGAGAGAACTGATAAGATTTAGCAATGGATCAGATAGGGATGGTAGGAGGGTGAGCATAAAGAGGTGAAGATAACATCTTGATGGAAAGCCTGGGAGACTAAAAGAAGAGTGTTGTATTTGATAGAAATAGAGAAGTTAAAAGGAAGAGAGGAAAAATAATGAGTTCCTAACTCTGTGAGTCACTTAACTTCAGTTATCTCATCTGTAAAATGGGGAGAATAATGACAACAACCTCATGGTGTTGTCATAAGAATCAAATGACAACCTTAAGGTATTATATAAATGCTAGATATTACTGTCATTGTTGCTGGTAATGTTGCCTAATAACTTTGTCAGTTTCTTGCCCTCCCTTACAATTAATGTTCCCTAGAGCTGTGCCCCATATCCTCTTTTATCTATCTATCTATCTCTCCATCCGTCTGTCCATCTGTCTGTCTGTCTGTCTGCCTGTACATCTATACCTTCTTGTACTTGATAATTTCATTTGCTGCCTTTGGTTTAAGCATAATGCCTATGCATATTACCACTAAATCTATATGTCTCATCCTATTATCTCCCTAGAACACACCGTTCTTGCATCACCTGCCTGTTGGACATCTCATAAGCATCTCAAACTCAATAAGTCCCAAACTGGAAAATGAGCTCACGCACATTCTCCTAACATTCCCATTCCTGTTGAGGACACCCAAGTTCATCACCCTGGATCCTCTGTTTTGACTTCTCCTTTTCAGCCTAATATCCAATCAGCTGCCAGATCTCGTCAGTCCTATCTCCACAACAGTTCTCCCTTCCAGTCATGTAGCCACCATCCTAATTTAGCCCTCATCCTCTTATTACCTGATGAATGAGTTCTTGAGGTTTTCTTCCATCCAAAAAACGCTCAATTTTCCAGCACTTGACAAATTTCAGACACTACTGTACCACATCAGGTGACTCAGTGTTGGTTCACAAAGCATGACCCTTTCATATAAGTCACATACATACTACTATCCTCATTTCACAGACAAGGAAACAGACTCAAAGAGGAAAGTGGCTTTCCATTGAGTGACAGAGATGGGACCCAAACCCAGGCTTCCTGATGCCATTTTCAGGACTCTATCACATCTGTCTTTTAATCATACCCCCTCTATTGTGTCTCAATTCCACAGTTCATCTTCTGAAGCCAGTGATGACCTAACTGGGCTTCTCAGGAGCGCCCTGAAGACATCCGAGAACAAACTCAACATTGAAAACCTTCACCTGAGTTTTCATAAAGAAGACCAACCCTTCTCTGGTCGCCTGCCACCCTCCAAGGTAAACCATGCCACATTTAGATTTATAGGTTTATTTCAATGTGTATTTATGAGCAGATAGATGGTAGAGAGCTTCTGGGAGTAATTTTCTTTTCTGGGTCCCTTTTGTGGATTGTATGGCATACATAAAATTCTTTGTTCTCTGTGGGAAGCTAGGTGGTACAGTGGACAGAGTACTAGGCCTGGAGTCAGGAAGACCTGAGTTTGAATCCAGTCTCAGATGTTTCCTAGCTCTGTGACCCTGGACAAGACACTTAACCTCTATTTGTCTCAGTTTCCTCATCTATAAAATGGGGATAATCGTAGCACCTACCTCCCAGGATTATTGTGAGGGTCAAATGACATAACAATTGTAAAGGTCTTAGCACAGTGCTTGGCACATAGGGAACACTATGTAAGTGTTAGCCATCATTAGTGATTATTATTATCTCAGAGTTTGGGGAGGGGCAAAAGAGAAAGGCTGATTAAACTGTTAGAATTGGACCAGAAATGCCTTGGGGAGGAGTCTGAGATCTATGCACCAATGGAAAGTTTAATGCTATCAAAACAACATTTCACAGTAGAAAACAAAGCCTTCTGCCAAGCGGCCAAATCCAAGTTTCCGAAACTCTTAACTAGCTGTCATTGGAATTCTGTGTGACCATCCCATTCCATTCACTCAGACTAGATGTCAAAAAATAAAACAACTGCAACGAACGCATAGGTTTGTAGAGCTAAAGGGGTCCACAGAACATGGGATGTTAGAGCTGGGGAGAACCACAGGATAGAGGATGTCAGAGCTAGAAGAGAACTGGCTGTCAGAGCTGAGATGGACCTTAGAACATAAAATATAGAATGTTAGAGCTGGAAGGAACCTTAGAACAGACAGAACTAAAAGGAATTTCAAGATATAGAATGTTAGAACACGGGACACAGAATGTCAAGGTTCAAAGAAACTTAGAACACAATTTCAGAGCAAAAAGAGACCTTAGAATATTAAAAATAATCATTGGAGAGGATCTTAGAATAAAGGATGTTAGTTCCTGGGATAGACCTTAGAACTATGAGGAACCTCAGAACATAAGAATTGGAGAAAAACACAGATCATAGAATGTAAGAGCCAGCAGGAACCTTAGAACACAGAATGCTAGAACATAACTTGGTAGAATTTTTAGGATCAACTAATCTAATCTCCTCACACTACAGATGAAGAAAGAGATTCAAGAAAGTTTAATGACTCACCTAAAGTCACACAATAAGCAGATGGAAGAGTGTGGCTTTGAATCTAGGCATTCTGAACCCAAGGCCAAAGTACATTCCTTTACATCACAGGAGTAATACCAATAATAATAATAATAATTATGATGATGATGATGACAATAACTCATCTTCATAGAGTGCTTCAGAGTTTACCAATCATTTCGTATACATTATTTTGTCTCTTTTCATAATGACTATGTGAGGTAGGGCTTTAATTTTATCCATTTTATAGATGAGGACCCAGAGAATCAGAGTGTTTCGGTAACTTGCTGAGGGTCCCACAGCTAGTAAGGGTTTGAGATGGGTCTTCTCAACCGCGAGTCCATTGTTCCATCCATGCTGACAAAACCCTAGGGATGATTTGGAATGGAAGCCAGGAGGGGAAATGGAGGGGGATATGGAAAAATCCTGTTTGCCCCTCTGTGAAAGGAATGGCCTGTAAGAAAAAAGGACCACAATGATGAGGGATCTCATTTCATAGGGTGAGCAATTGATGGAGATATGTGTATTTTGTTTTTCATTTTTTAACTTGTAGGAGAAAAGCCTTGAGGGGGAGGAGTCCTCATGCCTGTGTTGAAATATCTGATGGGCTCTCAGTGTCTCTTTGGCCCCAGAGGGCAAAGCTAGGAACCGAGGGTTGGAGTTGCAAGAAGGAAGGTTTAATTTGGAGGTCAGGAAGAGCTGCCTAACATTTGAGCTGTCCCAAAGTGGGCTGGCTGGCTGGCTGGCTGGCTGGCTGGCTCCAAGGGCAATGGGATCCCTTCAAGACTCTGTTGATGAGGAGCTGGTTGGCCACTGGTGGAGTATGTTATAGAGATGATTCTCGGTCAGCCAAAGGTCCAACTCAATGGACACTGACGTCCCTTCCAAAGTGGAGATTCTATGATTCTTTGATTCTGACTGAAAGGACCAAACTTGAAAGTCAAGTGCACAATCCTTTATTCAGTGATGGCTCTACTCTGCCAGGCATACGGTCAACCTGGTAGTCATGGAGAGTGCTTCAGACCCTACCATGAAGGTGGAGGGGGAGTTGGATAGGAAAGAAAATGGACTGTGCCAATCTAGTAGGTTCATAAATCATTCAACCAAGTCCAGGCAAGACCATTAAGGTCAGGAGGGTCTGGGTAGGCAGGATCTAGCATCCAGGTGGCCAATGCTCATGGGAAGCAGAGTGGGCCAGTGGAAAGAAAGCTAGGTCTGGAGTTGGATGACACAGGTTCAAATCCTGACTGACACATATTACCTGTGGGACTTTCAGTGAGTTCCTTAACATCTCTAGTCCTTAATTTCCCTGCTTGTATCTACTCTGTATATATCTCAAATATCCCTATTCATTTATCTTTTCTCCTCCATTAGAATATAAGCTCCATGAGGGCAGGGACTGTTTCATTTTTGTCTTTGTGCTTAGCATAGCCCCTGTGCATAGTAAATACTTACTAAATGTTTGTTGATTGACTGATTGATCAATGGCAGTGGTAGACCTGAACCTCTGAGATCTCTTCTAATCTTAGGTTGATGACCCTCTGTTTCCATGTGCAGAATCTTTCCACTTTCCTATGATGTCTGTATCTTCTATGTACTTAGATATTTACACATCGTCTCCTCCATTAAAATGTGCCTTTTCCTATGATGTCTGTATCTTCTATGTACTTAGGTATTTACACATCGTCTCCTCCATTAAAATGTGCTTTCTTTCACAGCAGGAACTATTCATGAGGCAGCTTAATGAAAAAGAAGGCTAGACGTGGAGTCAGAAAGTTCTGGGTTCAACTCCTCCCTTACACACTTACTAGTAGTGGGACCCTGGGTTAGTGACTTAACCTCTCTGAGCTTGAGTTTCCTCATCAGTAAAATAGGGGTGAATATAGCACCTACTTTGGTAGGCTCTTGGGTGGACCAAATGACGTAACATGAGATAGCTCTGTACACCACTGGCCTTGTTTGCTTTCCCTGAGCACGGCAAAATGCCTAGCACATAATGATCATCTTGGTGACTGTGCAGATACAATGCTGGGCTTGGCATCACAAAAATCTGAGTTCAAATTCTGCCTCACACATTTGGTAGGTGTGTGGTCCTGGGTAAGTCAGTTAACTTTTGCCTGCCTCAATTCCCTCATCAGTAAAATGGGGATAACAATAGCACAAGTATGTTGTAAGGATCACATGGGGAGTTCTCAGAAGAAATCAGAGTGAGTTACACCTCATTTATATGTAAATTCTGAAGTGCTAGAGGGAAGCAAGGAATTTGCTAATCATCTTCCTCCTTTTCCTCCTCTTCCTTATCCTCCTCATCCTCATCACCACCATCAGACATCATCAGGAAATGATATATTTAACAGATTTAAATTTTCAGATATCCAAAGTTTATCTATGCAAGTGCCCAAGTGCTGTTTTATTTCTTTTTGATTAAAATCCTTCCCACATCCCTCCCACCTTAGCAAACAGATTGGGAAGGGCTTTAAAAGCCAAATGTGGGCATCCATATTTTATTCTCAAGGCCATTAAAAAAACTGAACATAATTTTACATTTTCTAGGTGACAGAGTCCTCATCACTTAAACACGTGTAAACAATTTAGGATCTTCAATCTCATTGATGTTAGTACTCCTTCCACGGGAATCAACCCATAACTTTAATACTTTAGAATACAATAATAAGCCTTAAGAGAAATAGTGTCCCATGGTGGACAGAGGGCCAGACTTCAAGGCAGGAACACCTGACTGCAAACCCCATCTCTGGCCCATCCTGGCTGTGCAACCACAGACAAGTCACTCACTCTCCCTAAGCAACTCTAATAATTTAAGTTACAGACAAGTTTCTGCACTGGGAATTCCCTACACTAAAGAAATTACAAGTCAGGATCACCATTCCCCCCTCTCAAAAAAAAAAAAAGTTTACAAGTAGATAAAACATGAATGCTTATGGAGCCTTTTTCTCACAATCACCCAGTGAAACAGGTATTACAAATACTCATTTTATAGACAAAGAAACTGAAGCTTTAATAAGTTAAGTGCCTCTGGTCATAAAATTTGTAAATGTCAAAGCTGTGATGTAAACTTATACCAGGACCTGGATTCTAGGTCCAGCATTAATCCCACTAAAATACGCTGTCTCTTAAATGTTGTACAATTTTATTTTGTGGGAAACACTGCCTCCCAACACATACAGTATCTCCTCTGTGCTTTATAAATGGTTTTTCATGAAAATCCAAAAATGAATCTCTTCCTTAGATGTCTTCTGCCATTTTGTCCAGACCACTCCACTGCACTCACCATGATCTTCCTTGTCATGAAAAAAAATGAGCATGGTGTGCAATTTGGGAGACAAATCAGAAAGAGAAGCTATATTTTTATTATGGGCAGAGGCAGGGAGAGATCAGTTAATTGATACCTTTCTTCTCTCAAAGATCAAAGAAACTCCTGCAATTTCTTACACACAGACAGACAGACAGACACACACACACAGAGAAACACGGACAGAGAGACAGACAGAGACAGAGACACAGAGATATAGAGGCAGAGAGACAAAGACAGAGACAGGGAGCAGTTGGAGGTGACTGTGGGGAAGGTCTGAAGCTCACCCATCATATCAAAGGGACCAGTGAGGCAGCTTTGTTTTGCTCTAGGGCTAGCATCACAAAGGACTCAGGAAAGAGCAAAAACAAAGGCAGAGATGGAATGGTATGAATGTGGCTACTCATTTTCCATTGAATTGGAAGCCAGTTTAAAGATGAAGTCACTCTTGCCACAAAATGGAAGATATGGGGCTCCTCTCTCTTCTGCCTCCACATAACTATCATCCTAACAATTCGTGTGTTTTTTATATCTCCTCTATACATTACTCTATTACAGCTTCTTGAGAGCAGGGCCTGTGTCATATTTCTCTTTGAAGACCCAGCATCTAGCAAAACACTTTGCATAGAGTAGGCATTTAATAAGTGGTTAGTGAATGAATGAATTAGCCTTCTGGATTGGGTTTATCTCTATGGGTAATTGACCACCATGTGTTGCAAAATCTTTGAAATTCGGTCAAGTAAATTTCCATAGTCCTCCTTCTCTATGTTCAAGGAATACAAGGCTGTGGTTTTCCACTCACCCCAGTCAGTATGGTGATTTGATGATGACTGTATAAATGCAAACGCCTTAATCAAAGACTTTGGGCTCCTGTTATCCATTCCTTCAAGGGCCCTCCATGGTAAATGGTGCCCTGATGACTTGGGGGAGAAGGCACAGGGAATGTTGCTTAGGGGGGAGATAGTGGCTGCCCTGGAACATCTCCTCGCCTTGGCAGGTATGGGTTACTGGTGGAGGAGATGGGAGAATAGAAGGGATTGTATTCATCCTGTCCAAACTTTAAATACTTTTTGATTTTCAGGTCAAGGCTATTTGTGAGCAACATGGACTCACTCTGTCCCCATCACTGATGGGGGCTTTGTGTAGCCATCAGGATTTGAATGTACAAGATGAAATCAAGTAAGTTGATTCTCAATTCAAACAGACTGTAGCTGCAGCCCATGTATTAATTCATTGAATAAGCATTTCTTGAATGCCTTCTACTGTCAAGGCACTATGCCAGGTGTTAGGAATACAGAAGCAAAAAGATGAAATGGCTCTGCCCTTGAAGAGTTTACCTTCTATGGAGAAGAAGCAATGTGTGACAAATAACTAGAAAATTCATGGTAATATTGAGTGGAGACGCTGTTAACAACTGGGAGGTGGGGTGAAAATCAGGAAAGACTTCACCTAATAGTAAACACTTGTAAGTAACATTCATATAGAGCCTTAGGGTTTGTGAAGCACTTTACAACTATTATGTCATTTGATCCCCACAACACCCTGGAAAGTGGGTGCTGTTATTATCCCATGTTTACTGATGAGGAGACTGAGGCAGACAAAGGTTAAGTGACCCACCCAGGGTCACACAGCTGGTGTTCTGAGGCCAGATTTGAACTCAGGTCTTTCTGACTCCAGGCCCCACTCTATCCACCTTGTAAGTTTTCTCTTCTGCAACCATACTGTATTGTTCTTTATTTTGTCTTCTGGGCCAGGCCAAGCAAGTCAATCTCTCCTTCATAGCAGAGATCTTCAGAACCTTGAAGACAGCTACCTTGTTCCCCACAATTCTCTCAAGGCTGAGCATCCCCCCCCTTACAACCGATCCTCAGGTGGCACAAATTTAAGACCCTTCAAGATAAGGGGCATCCTACTTTGAACTGTCTCCAACTTATCAACATTCTTCCAAAATGTGGTCTAGAGAAACAAACTAAAATGAAGCAATGCCTCCCCTTAGGAGCACACAGTAGGCCAGGTGTGGTCTGACTAAGGGAGAGAACAGTAGTGCTGCCATCTCCCTAGCCCTCAACATTTCTTTGTATCCACAGTACTCAGCACAGTGCCTGATACATAGTAGATGCTTAATAAATGCCAAGTGCCATATCACATTGTTGATTCTCACTGAGCCTGGTGTCTACTGGGGTCTCCAGATCCTCTATGTGTCATCTTCCCCTATGGGAACATGAGCTCTTTGCAATCATTGGCTGGCTTTTATATTTTATTACCAGTGCTCAGCACTGTGCTTGTCACATAATAAGTGCTCAATAAATGCTTTCCATTCATTTCATCTTCATTAAAAAAAAAGAAAACCAGATCCTGCAATTGAGCCATGTTTGTCTTGTCTTATATTTGTGATGCTGATTTTTTTTAACCCAAGTATGTGACTTTACATTCATCCCTATTAAACTGCATCTAATTAGATTAAGCCCAAGTGTGGTCTGAATCAAAGGAATCTGGTTTTGTCCCTGGGTGTCAGGTGTGATTCCATGACCTTAGAAACAAAGAGATCAGAGTAAGGAAATTTGTATAAAGTGAAAAAGAATTCAAAAACCAACCTCTGAAAACCACGACCTGATGGGGCTGCTTAAGCAGGGAGTGAGATCACCAGGCCTTCCGTTATTACTTACCCTATACTAGCTTTAGACTTGCCAAGAGCAAGAGCAGTGTTTTATATAAGCTGTTTCCACCCTTCCTCTGTTTCTTAGGAGGGCAGAGCAGTCCTGAGAATCAGGCAGGCATTAGCCTCACACCTGAATCTAATATCCCTTTGACATGGAGGGGGTTTGGACTCATCTCTTTCATCTGCCTCCCTTCCCTTCTTTTGATGTGTCCACATCAATTTTGCAGGTGGAGGGAGGGAGAGCTAGGTGATGGAACAGGTTCGTATATCTCTCCCCCCAACCTGAAAAATAGCAGGGCTTGGTCATTCAAAATAAGCCTTTGATGGAAGAAAGTGGAGGGGAGAGCTAGTCCTCTGATGAAGGGTAGAAGCTCAGAAAGTAATAAGGGAGATAGGCTTCCACTGTATTATTTCAGTGACTGTGTCCTTCTGCCCACTTTTTCTTAATCCAAATTGCTGGGGAGGGTTCAGAACTCTAGATTTCTCTGTCCTTACCCTCCAGGATGGCCAAGGACGTCATGACAGTGACCTTCAGGAGGGAATTACTCCCCTATGAGATAAATCTCTTCCACCCATATCCAGCCACTAGCTAAAGCTTCATATTGACATAAACCCATTTTGTCAAGGGTTTTATATTCAGACTTATGTCTTTAAGAGATTAAAAATACAATATAGACACACATGTCAGGAGTGAGATGCATGAATCCCGATTTTAGGGCATATTTTCCTTTAATCCTCTGTCCAATCGGGTGCCTGGTTGGAAAGCGGCTACTGGGTAATTAGCAGGATTCCAGCTTGGAGCCACTTCCTGATTAAATGTCCTTAAAATCAGTAAGACATCAGGAAGGATTAGGGTGATGCAGGATTAACTCCCATCTCACCAAAGAGAAGGAGTCCCTCCCCATCCCCTCTGAAACTGTCGCCCTGGAAGAGCGGGGGAAGGAAGCTGTGTTCTCTGTCCTGTTTACTGCAGGATTTTTTTTTTAACAATGACTTTTTTTGTTCTTCCTTTCCTCACAAATGAGGAGAGAATTGAGTGAATGGCTGCCACAGTGGGAGATTTCAGAAGAGGCAGAGTGGATTGGTCTCATCAGATCTCCACCTCAGAATTGCCCATCTGTAAGATGAGCTCAGGTTGGGCAGATTGGAGTCAAAATTAGATTTCTATTTGTCTGTTGGGCGATTTCCACTAAAGTCATACTTTGGTGCCTCATTATAAAAATGTGACCCTGAGTTGTTCTTTAAAATAATAGATACATAAAATAAATGATAAAATAAAAGATAAAGCCAGTAATAATAATTTTTATTATCTTTTGTTGTTACATCACCTTCATTTTCAAATATATCTTTCTCCCTTGTAACAAAAATAAAAAAGAAAGGAAAAAATACAGTGGTTCAGCAAAACGAATTGCAAATCAACTAAGACTTATATGCAATGTTACATCATAGTTCCCATCTCTGCAAAAAGAGGAAGGATATGCATTTTCGCATCTCTTCTTTGTGACCAAGCTAGGTCATTATAATTATGCTTGGTTTAGTTTTTTTTTTTTGGTAGTATTTATTTTTCTTTCTATTTATATTGTTTCAATCCTTAAGTATACTTTTTTCTTCCTGGTTTCACTTATTTTGCTTTGTATCAGGTCATGTAAGTTTTCCCAAACTTCCTCATATTGATCACATTAGGTGTTATTATTATTAATAATTTATTAATAATTATTAATAACACATCTCCCATATTTGTTGGGAGGATAGAACAAGATAACATTTTAAAAACACCTTGCAAATCTTTAAGTGCTGTGTAAATGGTATTATTATTGTTTATATGTTCTTGTAGCACAATAGTATTTAACTATATCAATGGACAGCAATGTTTTATTATTGCTGAGTTGTTTCAGTCATTCCTGACTCTTTATAACCTCATTTGGGATTTTCTTTGCAGAGATACTGAAGTAATTTGTTATTTCCTTCTCCAGCTCTTTTTACAGATGAGGAAACTGAGACAAACAGGCAAAAGTGATTTGACATAGTGAATAAGTATCTGATGCAAGATTTGAACTCAAGATGATGAGTCTTTCTGACTCCAGGCCCTAAGATTTATCCATTCCTCAAACAATAGTCACCTTCCTTATTTCCATTTCTTTACCACCAAAAAATAAGTGCTACTATGAATATTTTGGTATAATTATGAATTGTCTTTCTGTCTTTCACATACTTGGGAGTATATGCCTAACACTGCCCTCTCTGGGTCAAAGCATATAGATATCTGAGTTACATTCTTTGCCTAGTTTCAAATTACTTTCCAGAATACTTGGCCTAGCTCATAGATCCACCAATAGAATATCATCATGCCTGTTTTTTCCTAGCCCCTCCAACATTGACTGTTTCCATATTTGTCCCCCTCCCCCTACCTTTTTTTTCCCAATCTCTTGGTTGAGAGGACCCTCTATCGTTAAAAGATAATACCTATCGATAACATTTCTCCTATGTCTTTCCAAGCTGGAAATACTTTAATACAGACTTATACAAGGCTGAGAGGCTATTGTCAAAAGACCAGTCTAGCTAAGTTTAGGGAGCCTAATATCCAGAAAGATTACCACTATATGATGAATGAGGTACAGGGGAGCAAGAGCTGAACTAAGAGTCCTAAGACCTGAGTTTGAAACTTGACTCTGCCATTTCATGTATGACTTCAATTCTCTGGGATTCAGTTTCCTTATCTTCAATATGAGGGAGTTGAACCAGATGGCCTTCTGTGACATATCCATGACCTATGAATATTTTTAGCCACAGAAACCCAAAAACTACTAAGGTGCAGAAAGACCCGTGTCATAGAGAAGTGGTGGAGGGGACACACACACCAATGGAATCCCAGTGCTTGGGAAGGAGGAAGGATGTTTTTGCAGTAAATAGGAGTTTAGGGAAGAAGGGGATGAAAGAAGCAATGATCTAATTTGATCATGTCTTTGGAGTAAATAAATTCTATAGATAAATGCTACAACCTGAAAGTCAGAGTATATGGGGATGAGGCAAGATAGGCAGAGAGGTAGAGAGGAAGACTTTGGAGAATGAAACTAATGCACTGACATCTTTAACATTTCAGAGCGATGAGTGCAGTTGCCTGGCAGCCACAAGTAGGATTTTTCAGGCACATCTGGCCTCTTATTCTGAATGTGATGGGTAGAAAATGCCTGTTATTCTAATGCCAAGAGCAAGCGGGTTGATTTTTGAAGACAGAGGAAACATTAGGTGCTTAGATTAACAAGTCTTTAATGGAAACAGAAAGCTTGTTGGTTTTCAAGTTGACAAAGATGGGGATGGAATGTGTTAGGTAGAAGGGTATAGGACAAAACCTGAATTGAGTGATTAAAAGGTTTGTTAGGGAACATTAAGACATGGAAGCAATGATCACAAAGAACTAACATGGCTTTAGGGAGAGTAAGTCTTATCAGACTAACCCACCTCCATTTTCAATAGAGTTGCTAGATGAGGAGATTTGTAAATAAGGGGAATTGTTCTTAATAAAGAATCACAGAGTTTAAAGAGATCTTAGAATGGCCCAGAAATACCACATAATCGTTCTTTATAATTGTTTAAATGAATGAATGATTTTTTTTCTCTAGCAAATTCTTCAATTTGCATTATTTACCCTATTTTTAAATTCTTCCCTCTGGCAATTTTATTGGTCATTATTTCAGGCCAAAAAGAACCTTCCTTTCAGTCACTCTGTTTTTCTTCTCACACAGATGGCAAAAATTGATGGAGTTCTTGATCAAAGCTTCCTCGGACAAGCCTTCTCCTTTGCCCAAACCTACAGGTCAGTGCCCTGGTTTTATTGCCCAGATCATATCTGGAAGACATGATAAGCCAGCCCCTCCAAAGCTTCTAGTTTAATCATGCCTCAAAAGGTAAATGAAGTCATCAGAAAGCGTATGATAACCTGGAACTGATTCTGACCAGCAAGGAGGGCTTAGCTGCTAAAGTAGACATGATGTGAAACAGGGGAAATTTGGAGATGGAGGACCTGGGTTCCAGTTCTTCCAGTTCTTCTAATGTGACCTTGGATAAGTCCTTTCTCTCTCCCTGGGTCTAAAGATTCTCTTCTGTAAAATGGGGTATTGGATGAATGACCTCTAAGATGGCCTCCAGGTTGAAATCTATAACCCTTGGATACTGAAATTTATGATAGAGGAGAGAAAAGCTGACCATACCATGTCATACACTCACAATTTGGAAGGAGTAGATTTCAGAGGGTTAAGAGAGGGACTAGGTATCATTCTATAGACAAAACTTCTTCGGCAAGGTCAGTTTATGAATTATGGAAAGCACTTAGGAATGGAATTCCAAAGACTCAGAGAAATAATTCCAATCAGGAGAAAAAGAGAGAGTTGTCTAAAGAGATAAATAGGAATGCTCAGGGAATTTACCAACCAGCTTAGGTTTTCAGAAGACCCTTGCAGACACAGAAGCAAGGGCGAGTATCTGGGGATAAATGCACAAGTGTGATGTCGTTCTGGAAGAATAACGTCAGGAGCTCTGAAGAACAGAATGAGCTGAGCCTGGCTGGAAATGCTAGCAGGGAGAGAATGAGTTGGGGAAAAGAGGAAAATCGAAGAAGAAAGACGCCTGCTACTCAGATTGGATAGCATGCTGCATGCTAGCTGAAATTCAATGTAAGTAAGGAGATGGGAGTTAATCGTTCTAACAATATGAATTTATTAAGCACCCACAATGTGTCAAATCAAAAACATTTATTAATCACCTACTATGTGCACCTACTATGTCTCCTGGGGAGATGGAAGGGAAGGGAGGAGAGATAATGAATTCTGCTTTAGATGAGCAGAGCCTGAGATTTCTCTGGGGCTTACAGCTGTTTGTGATGTGGGACTTAAGCTCAAGGGAGAGACTGGGGTTGTATGTATTGGTCTGTGATTCAACTACAGAGAGAAACCAATTAAATCCATATGAATTGATGAGGTCAGAGAAAGAGAGAGAAAGGGCGGAGGGAGAGAGAGAAGGGAAGAGGATGCAGTACTTGGATCAGATCCTAGATCTAGAGTTAAAAGGGGTCTCAGAGAGAAGACTGAATCGCGGGCAGCTGTAGCGGTTTCCAGACTTCTCCACCCACGAATGCCAAAGACAACTTAGAAGGTCAATGGGAAAAGTCTGTGACTGCAGTGAGAGAAGAAGCTAGATCTCAGCCGCCACGAGGGTAGAGGCTGGCTTCTGAGCTTCCAGCCCACAGACTGAGGGGGAATCGATTGGCTGATCTGAGGGGGATTGCAAGGATCTCTTTGCCAGGGCCGAGTCAGGAATCTCTTGCTTTGCCCGTGCTTGGATCTGGGTCACAGGTCTGAGGGGAGGTCCTGGGGCGAGGAGGAGTGCTGGTGTGGTAGAGCTTGTTGTGGCGGTGGAGAGGAAACACCTCGCCCCTTATCATAGCACCTTGGAAGAACTGATGCTTTTCAGGTCCCTCAAAGTATCTCTGAAAACAGCTGTACAAACCTCCAAACCTTGGGACAGTGCACTCTTCACATTGGAAGCAGACTCTTACCTTAACAAAGAGTTTAAAATGCAAATAATTGGTTGGGATCATGAGCAAGCAGTGCAAAAAGAGTCAGACTATATTATCTTACTTTGGTGACAAAAATGATCAAAACATACAACCAGAAGAAAAAAACAAAGTCAAAGCTCCTATATCCAAAACTTCCAAGAAAAATATGAACTACTCCCAGGCCTTGGAAGAGCTCAAAAGTGATTTTGAGAAGCAAGTAAGAGAAGTAGAGGAAAAACTGGGAAGGGAAATGAGAGTGATGCAAGAAAATCATGAAAAGCAAGTTAACAGCTTGCTAAAGGAGACCCAAAAAAATACTGAAGAAAATAACACCTTAAAAAGTAGCCTAACCCAAATGGCAAAAGAGGTCAAAAAAGCCAATGAGGAGAAGAATGCCCTAAAAGGCAAAATTGGCCAAATGGAAAAGGAAGTCCAAAAGATTACTGAAGAAAATACTTCCTTAAAAATTAGAATAGAGCAATTGGAAGCTAGTGACTTCATGAGAAATCAAGACACTGTAAAACAAATCCAAAAGAATGAAAAATTAGAAAATAACATGAAATATCTCATTGGAAAAACAACTGACCTGGAAAATAGATCCAGGAGAGAGAATTTAAAAATTATTGGACTATCTGAAAGTCATCATCAAAAAAAGAGCCTAGACATCATCTTTCAAGAAATTATCAAGGAAAACTGCCCTGATATTTTAGAACCAGAGGGCAAAATAGAAATTGAAAGAATCTACCAATCTCTTCCTGAAAGAGATCCCCAAAGGAAAACTCCTAGGAATATTGTAGCCAAATTCCAGAGTTCCCAGGTCAAGGAGAAAATATTACAAGCAGCCAGAAAGAAACAATTCAAGTATTGTAGAAACACAATCAGGATAACACAAGATTTAGCTCCTTCTACATTAAGGGACCACAGGGCATGGAATATAATATTCCGGAGGGCAAAGGAGATAGAATTACAACCAAGAATCACCTAACCAGCAAAACTGAGTATAATTCTTCAGGGGAAAAAAATGGTCATTCAGTGAAATAGAGGATTTTCAAGCATTCTTGATGAAAAGACCAGAGCTGAATAGAAAATTTGACTTTCCAATTCAAGACTCAAGTGGAACACGAAGAGTTAAACAGGAAAGAGAAATCATAAGAGACTTATTAAGGTTGAACTGTTTACATTCCTGCATGGAAAGATGATATTTGTAACTCATGAGACCTTTGTCAGTATTAGGGTAGTTGGAGGGAAAAAATTATATGTATGTATATAGATAGATAGATAGATAGATAGATAGATAGATAGATAGATAGATA